GTACTTATTTGTAGTAGAACCTTCCCGTATATATTAAAATCTAGTACTGCGTCAGCCCTTCAAAACAATGTCAATATATATAAACTTTTCCTTTGTCTTCTTTGTTTTGGACGCACTTAAAAGCGTACGAATGTTGCGTCCGTTACCGTGAAAATGCCCATAGGTATGTATGTACATATATGCATTTTCGTTATAATCTTTCTGTTCTATTGTTTGTTTGAAAAATACGCGTAAAGTAGGAACTATTATTTGTTACATGCAACCGTATAAGTGTAAAATTCATAATAGCATAGAAAAAATGCAAAACTCATTGATATATACATGATATTCTGAACTTTTCTTTTTATTTATATACATACACTGGCGGACATAATTATTCACACATCACTGGGTTTACCACAAAAACGGTTGTATCTTTTAAATAATARAAACTAGTTTATAGTTTTGTTCTAATGTTCATGTCTCTGGTATTTGAAAATAACAACAATTTAACACATTAATTTTCTATTTAAAAAAAAAGCTACAACAATTGCATATTACTTCATTTATGTGAGGGACAAATTATTCACACACTTTTGCTTAACAAGAAAAAAAAATAATATTTGGTGGACATACACTTTTGTTACACTACACTGTTTACTGCAAGTCTATTTTGCGTAGAGTGAATTAATTTTTTTCTCACACTTGGCTCTATATTTTGCCATTCTTGTTGAAGAACTTCCTTTAGTTGAGGTTTTCTGGTAATATTTTGTACGTCATGAGCAGTGTGTTTGGGGTAATTGTCCTGTTGGAAATTAATGTGATCCCCAAGGTTTAGCTTTTGCGTGTTTTCTTTTAAGTTATTCTTTAGTATATTCAAATAAACGTTTTTATCCATTATTTCTTCAATGAATACGAGATTTCCAACACACTCCATGTTTTACTGTACTTATCGAATTATTTTTCTCAAGTTCAGTATTGGGTTTTCTACAGACCCGTATTCTGCCATCTGACTGAAAAATGTTGAATTCATCGCTAAATAGAACGTTTCTCTAGAACTCAGATGGTTTATCTTTGTATGCTTTTGCGAAGTCCACCCTCTTTTTTTTATTAACCTTGCTTGGTTTTTCGCGCTATTCGTTAACTGTAGCCAGCACGGTGCAAGGTATTGCGTACTGTTTTTGCGTGAATGTTTCCCAATTTCTTCGCGAACTTCTGCTACCACCTGCGTAGAAGTAATTTTGGGATTCTTTTTAACTTTTCTTACAATTTGCCGTTCTTCTGTGTTGGTCAGCCTACGCGGTCTGCCGGTATGAGCACGACTCTAAATGTTTTCTTCTCCTTTAAAGCGCTTTATGATGCAGTAAATAGTATATTTGCTTCTATTTACAAGTTTACCAATTTCTGTTCATGTAAATTTAAAAGTGTTTGTCTTTCCTCGACAAAGTTTTTTCTAATTTACGACCCATTTTCAATATCGACAACCCACTTGCACAAATAACAATACGGAATGTCGGAAATTTAATGTAAAATTACAAATTTCGAGTGTAGAATTCATAGCAATACTACTCCTAATGCTTCCGTTACATGTTATTGCTAAAGTTTTTAATTTAAATGGCATGACTTTGAGTTGTCTGAATAATTTTGTCCCTCACATAAACAAAGTAATATGCAATTTTTGTAGATTTATTTCAAATGGAAAGTTAATTTGTAAAATTAATGTTATTTTGGGGTCGGCTTTAGTATACCATCCCACGATTTCGGGGTTAAAAGTGGTATGGCTGGATAGGGCTGATGCTCCAGATTAAGAAAATATATAATTGTTGCCGCCGCAAATTTATAGTTTTCGAGATGTATGCATTTAAAGTTGAAAATTTCGMAAATTTAATTTTGTAATTTCTCGATTTATAGTAATTTTTTCTTTACTATTTTGCACTTTTTATACACTTACACTTCACTAAAATATTCCTACATATTTATTTTTTATTAATATTTTAAATAT